TATACAGATCATTGAGAAAATTTGAGGTCTTTTGGGAACATTTGAGATACCGGGGTCATTACCCGGCTTCGGCTGAGAACAAACTGTGAAACAGAGTCCTACGAATGCTCACTACTCTCAGGTTCCCTGACAAACCCTTCTAAGACTTCCCAACACCGTCTTACTCCCTGCTGAGTTCTTCCAGGCCTCACGCCCCCACCCTGCTGGGTTACATGGCAACACAACTTGCCCCAGCTCCGACCAGCGTCATCCCAGCAGTAACCCTTGGTCGTCCCTTGGGATGCCCAACCCAAAGCATCCCCAGATCTCTCTACCAGGCCTCACGCCCCTGCATCAGCAGATTACAGGGCAACACCCCAGCATCGGCCAGCGTCGTTCTGGCATCGAATGACCACAAATCATTGAGTATAACAACATCAAAACTGCCTAAGATGGATTGCTAAGAAACCCTAACGTCCTAAGACATTCATAAGAGCAACTGACTTTTTCTCCATTCAGACTCTATCAAGTCAAGAGAATATGTGTGTCAATAAGCCTCCCCATCACGAATCAGATAGGTGAAACCTATTCAATCCCCCTACGACCACCACCAGCATGGTTAATTTTAGCACGAACCGAAGCTCTTCCCAGCCTCATGCTCCCATCAGGTTAGGTTACAGAGTTGCACCACCTTGCTCCAGCACCGGCCAGCATTGCTCCAGTTACGACCCCCGATGACCACTGGGACTGCCCCCGGAAACAGCCCCCCAGAGCTCTCTATCAGGCCTCACGCCCCCACTAAGCTAGGTCACAGAGTTGCGCCACCTGGCTCCGGCTCCGGCCAGCGTTGCTCCAGCATCGGTCTTCGAGGGCCACCGACTTCTTAACAACCCCTCGTAGGATCACAGATGGCTTGCCATATAACACCTATTCCTACATCCTCCTCGAGAGGCAACCAAATGGAAAGTTATAGTAAGTTGGATGATAGATTTCTTCGAGAGAGATCGCCCCTCCCTCCCCCTCCCCCTTCCCCCTCAACCCTATACTGCCTCCGCCGAGGAGAGTCACTCACTCTCCCTCGGCCCCAATATAGGACCAATCCTCTCCCACCCTTTCCCCAGGAGCACACAGTTCCCACCTAAAGCATGCCCCCCCACCCCTTGCCCATTTCCGCCTCTGCAGGGACTGATGGACCCACCCACAGTCCCTGCCCCAGAATAAGGCAACCCTCTACTCCGCCCATACCCTCTTTGAGACATTCACCCCCCACCTTGCGATGCCCCTGCAGGATAGAGCTCCCCCCACCCCCTTCCCACCGTTCAGCCCACCGGGAACAATCCGATCCAGCCGACTACAGTTATTGATGACACACTTACCAAAATATCATTCGCTTGGATTTTGTTGGATTGTATTGGTGACGCTGGACAACACCCTGACGATAATAAAGAGACAACCAACTCACCTGCTGATGCAGAGCAACATCTAATTGAAAACAAGCTGATGATGATGATGATGATGATGAAAACGGAAAGATGATGCTGATCTTACCGAACAGCAGCACCAACAGCCCCTATGATTACAAACTGATGATGATGTTGATGATGATAGTAATGATGATAGCAATGATGATGGTGATGTTGATAATGATGATGAAGATGATGATGGTGATGTCAGTAATGATGATGATGATGATGATGATGATGATGATGATGATGATGGTAAGGATGATGACGCATAGCGCCCTGTGATGACTACGATGATGATGGTGTGATGACAAACTCCTTGCATAATAACCTAAAGATGATGATAATATGATGATAATATGATGATGATGATGATGATGATGATGACGCTGATGATGATGCTGATGATGATGCTGATTATGATGCGCAAAGCCCTATGATGACGTCAAGTTTTTCCACCCGTGCCGTATGATGGAGAGAAATATGACGATGGTGATACAACAGTGAGCGACGAGCCGCTCCCCTAATGCACGGCTCCTTGATAGTAGTAATGATATTAGCACCGAACAGGAGTGAAGACATACGCCTTGATGATGATGACGAGCAGTACCCTGATGCTGATGATGGTGATGACGAGCAGCGACCTGATGATGATGACAAAACATTACCGTGATGATGATATCGCTGATGATGGTGACGAACAACACCCTAATGATAATGACGCCGATGCTGGTGCTGGCGGTGATCACCGAGAGTGCCACCGATGGCAGAGATGCATACAAAAAACCAAAATCAACGCACTCGATATCGCCTCCAATCCTCCTCCCGCTCCACGTAAGCACGCGCTCCTCCTTTCCGTCCGCGTCATACCAACCGCCTACCACAACACTACGCAGACCAAGGAGCAGAAGCCATAAGAAGGCTGAACTTCTCAAGAAGACCCACCTCCTGTCGAAGGCAAGTTCCCCTTCATCCAACGTGCTAACCTGTAACACCACTGGATGAAGCGCAAAGCTGGAGATGGCACCGAAGTGCTTTCAAAAGGCAGGCAACACCGAGTCACGCTCCATCCTCCTGCCCTCCCGCTGTCCGATCTCTACTTCATCACAACCCCATCACCAAGGCGCCGACACGCGAAAACTGTCCGCGTCATACCCAGCCGCCACTTCGCGCTCGCGTGTTTCCAACCTGTAGGGCGTCACGGGGCTGCCCGCGTGAGAGTGCCAACCCGGCGGGGCGCAGGGCTCCCGGAAGCGCTGCGCCCCGAGGTCCGGCCACAGCAGGTCGGCGGGCAGTATCCCAGTCAGAAATTTCTAGTCATCTGTTTTTATCTGGATTCGAACTTGGGTCTGTTTTCCAACAGGTGTACCAACTGAGCTAGGCTCGTGGGTGCGCGTCAGACAAATTTTGGAACTTCCAAGAGATTTAAATTTCAAAGTCAAAATTGAAAGGTAAAAGAAAGAATGTATGCCATGCAAACCTACCCCAAACAAAAAAAGAAAGTACAACGCGCAGACATTGCATACATCACCTACAACGTGATGCACTGGAATCCAATGATTCACATCGGCGGCTTCCAGTGTTGAAGAAACCGCTCTGCACTTTTATGTGAACCAACTGCTCACTGGTCCTTCATGTCTTATGCCATTATCGGTTCCAAGTCTCATATAGGAAGAGGTATCTGTTCTGGCTCTCCATTCCTTTCCCTCAAACTCTGATGGGACAAGAGATCAGAGTGTGAAACTGATACCCCCTCCTATATGGGACTTGTCCCATGAAGTCCCACGAAGTGATCAGTCTAAGTACGAAACGAGAGATCAGGGTGTGAGGGAAAGGGGAAGGAAGCGACTCCATATCCGGTCACTTCATACAGAATCATTTCTTCAAACGTACACGGGTTACCTTCCTCAAAAACCGAGGCGACATAAAGAGGTGATCAGGGATGGTCATTCTTCTATTTGGTTCTGCTTGACGGGTGATCCTTTGAAATCTTAACAATCTTAACATAAGTCACAAAGAATACCGACAAAAGAAGTCAGAAGAATACCGGACAAGTAGGGACAAAAAAGACCAGCAAGGACATATGTGATATAGTCCACACAAATGCGTGTCCCTGTGGGGAAGATTTGCCCTTCAGACTCCCATCTGCATATTTCACTGATGCTCTCAGGAAAGCGTTCAACTTCAAAAGTGAGGAGGGACTCTGAGAGGGAAAGTGGTATGGAGCAATGCAAGTAAAGAGAGTGTGCAGAGCAATTCCAGCGAGAGTCAGGGACTCAGGGAGTAGAGCCATCTCGGAGAGAGCAGTCCTACCCAGATGCTGTCCTGAACACTCAACAGCTCGAGATATATCCACTATAGATCCTGAAATGTTTTTGGTAGTACCTCTCTCTCTCTCTCTCTCTCTCTCTCTCTCTCTCTCTCTCTCTCTCTCTCTCTCTCTCTCTCTCTCTCTCTCTC